GGACATGTCCGTGGACATGTCCGTAGACATGTCCAAGGAAATGTCCGTGGACGTGTCCTTGGACGTTCGTGGACATCCTTGGACGTCCACGGACGTGCCACGGACGTGTCCATGGACGTCCATGGACGTGTCCACGGGCGTTCACGGACGTGTCCATGAAATGGTCAAAAAATGTACATGACCCATCGCAAGGGTTTCGCGAATGGCGACGATGACGTTCTCTCTCGTCGTACGATCTGCGGCCGAATGTGACCGGTCTGGTCGAAGTCGCTTGACAGGGGCTGAGGATGAGGAAACCGTGTTTTTCGTTCGTTCTTGTGGCCTAGTCTACACCTTCCGGCTTAGGGTCGCGGCTGTTGTCTTGGGTGGGCTCGTCCCGACTTCCCCAAGTTCGGTCTTGGGTGGGCTTGCCCCTTCTACGGCCGATTTCGCCGATTTAGTCGTGACGGTCCGCGTTTTCCCACCGTCAGGCCGTTTGCCTTCGTCTGGAGTCTGGACGGCGTTTTGTCTTCTCCGACAACGTGCAATCGGCCTCCAATCGTTTGGTCTGGCTCTCTGCGTCAGTATTAAGGATGATGTTGCTCTCTGATGTTGCTCTACAGTAGGGCCGGAGTCTCTCTGTTGACCGTTCCGATAGTTGCCACAACCACATCGGACCCTCGGTCCTACCCAGGTGATTTCCACGCGAACTCGTCGCCGCAAGGCGGCTTGCGGCAGGCAAGTTGCTCTGGCCTGTTGATTTATGGTTCCTCTGACGACCCGCCTTCCGCACGAATTTCCGCGTCGCCTCGACCGTCTGACCTTTCTCCGACGACGCCCTCGGTACTGTCGACGACACCAGTATCGTCATGTTTGACTACACTTGTATTGGGAGTTTATCCCCAAATCCCTACGCACCTCTGGCTCTTGGATTTTGATTCTGCTTCTCCGACACATACTGCACCTTCGGTTGCTCCTGCACTGTGATCTTCTGCAACCCCCCGACTCTTCCGAGTCTCCACCGAGTCTGGTTTCGGCCGCTCGCGCTATTTCGCCTTTGGGATCCACTGCTCTTCCTTCCGAAGGGTTGCAGTGCACTCATCCAGAGTCGGCCCCCCTCGTCTATCGAGGCGGCTTTGCATTCTTCGGCGGACTTGGACTTCCAGGCATCTGTCGATTGTTTATCGCATGCTGATTGGCCTCGCGAGCAACGCAACGAACCTGTGTGTGATGCCGTAATTCGCTTCATCCTCCTAGGTCGGCCTTCGGTCCTCCCTTCGGATTTCATGGATCATGCTCCGTCCGCTGGTCGACGTTCCCTGTTGGAGATTATTGACCTAACAAAGGCCGGTTACACTTTGACGATGATGGTTTGGTCTTGCTTGTTCGCAAGCTGACAGCGCCTCCGTCTGATACATGCACACGTCCTGGTGGACGTGCTGCTCGCCTCCTCAACGATGACTGTATCCGGATTTATGTTCTCGTGCTCATGCGTCCTGAGATCGTGCAAGCCTGCCATGCTGACGCGTCCTACCACCTCGGTGCATCTCGCACGCTTAGCATGCTGAAACGTTTCCATTGGTGGGTAGGCTTGAGTGTTTGCACGAAGGGGTGGGTGCGGCATTGGTTGCGATGCCAAGCTCACAAATCGCCGTCTCGTCAGACTTTTCGATTACCTACTTTGTGTCTTCCGTCGCCTTCAGTCCCTGGTGTGTCGGTGAGTGTCGACCACTTCGGTCCCCTTCTGTTGACACCCATACATTGATGTATGTTCACCGACCGTTTCAGCCGCCATGCTGACATGTGCGCGGTTACGGCTGCAGGATTCACCGCAGAAGGTACCGCGAACATCCTTGGTAACCGGCATATCCCTTCGTGGGGTTGCACATTTGAGTCTCCTGTCTGACAGAGGCTCCCAGTTCTGTCCTAAGCTGTCGCAGGCTGTGTACGCCCGTCTTGCTATTCGCAAAGTCGCTACACTAGCTCTTACCACCCTAATAGCAAGTGGAGCGTGTCAATCACAATAATATGGCTCAAATGTTAGCTAGGGTCGTCAACGAGATGCAGATTAGAACACTCATCTGCCGCACGTTGAGTCGCCTACAGCAATTCGGTTCGAGACGCTACTGGTTTAGCGCCCAACAACGTGCACATGAATTGATTGCCGCGTTTGCCGATGACTGAGCATCCCTGTGCTCGCGGCCACCAAAGCTCTAATCGTAATCAACTTGAGTATTGCGATCTTGCTGCTGATCGCCAACGTCATTCTTACGACTTGGTTCGTGAATTGCACAATTTACCCGTTTCGCGGATCGAGCGGCAAAATTCCGCTCTTTCGGACGCTTAACGTAAGCTTCCCCCCAACGGTATCGTCATACGTACACCCCGGTGAGGCGCGCCGATCTCGGAGGTAGAGCTACAAGCTTGAAATCCAGCCACGAATATTCCTCCAACGCCCAAGCCAAGAAAGCTGTCCGTATGCAATACTCCTGTGCGTTACGATGCATGGTGCAAAGAGCGGGGTCCCTGCGGCCAGAAGGGTCTCGTTCATAACTCGATCTGGAGCGACATGGGCATCTCGGAGACGTGTTGCCATCGCACTTCAGGCACTCGCTGTAGGTCGGAAACGGCCATACGAAGGGTTGAAAATGACACACACGACACGGTTGAATGTGGACAGAGCACGAGGAGGAGAATTAAGGCACGGGAACAAGGAGCACAGAAAACACCAAGAACAGAAGTGCAGTAGCAGGGACGGAGGGAACAAGATGACGACGGAGAGCGGCGCCCAAGCAAACGAGAAAAAAAGTTGCAACACGACATCAAGACCACGCTCTGCAAGCTAACAAACGGCAATGCAATGCCACAGCCATACCACGCTGGAACTTACCTAGCAGGTATGTGGTCCCCGCTCCTCCGCAAATACGTTTTGGATAGCGGGTAAGCCAAGCAAGCTGGCTGGGGTAAGAGTTCACTCCCTCACGTGATGATTAGACCACAACCTCCGATTATCACACAATAACGGCAAAATCGGGAAGTACGACAGGCGTAGCCACATATACCGGTTGCAGCTGCAGCAGCAACAACAACAATGTCACAACCCTAACAACGCGTCCAAGCAGGGAAACTTCCTCACTCTCATCGGCACCCTTCTCGCCAGGTTTGCTCGGAGGTACCCCTCGTATTTCCGTAGCCTCTCCGCCGTGCTCTTCACCACCACCGCACGGGCGTTGAACCCTTGCTTTCGAGCCTGGGGTGAGTAGGTACGCATGACAGGGAGAATATTGAACAACGCATGACCTTGGAGAAGGTGACACACCGACAAACAACGATGAGCTGTGGCAAAAACAAACATCTCTTACCAATACAAATTTGGCAAGACGCTTGGAACAGCAGACACCGACGGCCTTCACACTGTCCATGATGGGCAAAGCAAGCCGCACCAAGCCTAGTCTCACCGAACACACCAAGTTTCGAAATTACCAAGGTGAGCACAAAAAAAAACGCACGGTTCAATCTGGGTACATGCGGGGGTAGTGGGGGGAGCGACAAGTAGGACGTTTTAATAGAATCGATGTCGACAATGCCCGACAAATACTTCGTTTAAAGGGCGTCTACTGTATACCTCGTATAGCTGGCGCAGGACAGACTTTGGCGGACGTGCATCCACATCCGACAGCTCCCAGAAAATCTTGTGGTGACCGTAGTCCCTGGCGATTTTGACCATCACCACCTAATTCATCAAGAAGAGCGGCACCTAATCAGCAACTTAACGCCATCGTGTCGGGTGCGAGGAGGGTAGGCGGGCATGTGCAACCAACGAAGACAGCGAAATTTGTCGCTCTCTTCCATATGCACCGGAGTCTTCATCCTGGCACTGAAACATAGGTGTTCTATATATGGTTTGATGCAAATACATTCACAAAACAGCGGTCCAACGATCCAACCCTTTGCAAAAAAAAAGTACTTCGAAGCACGGAGTGAATCCTGTAACTTCCTACTCTTATTTTATCTCACGTGTATGGGAAAGCCGGGAAGCGTTATGCGTGGCCTGGTGCCTTTCGCATCGGCTTGCAAGATGTCGTTCCATACACCCTCCATTCTCTCCGCCCACGCGTCCCGCTCCGACAACAGTCTGCCATCGTCGTTCTCGTCGGCTTGCGGGGCAGCCGACACCTTTCGGGGAAGGACCGTAGCATAGGAGGGAGGCGGTGGGGCCGAATGCGCTTAATAAGCGCCGGCCTCCATAACAGCGGACCACAACGAGGTAGGGGGTACGACTTTCGGTGCCCACGGCAGGAAACTACTGTATCCATGCCCCGATACGTGCTATCCCGGTTCTCCTAATCACGGGGATCCCCACATGTTGGGGGTCTAATGCCAATAGCAACATGGTCGGTCTTTGTGGTGATGGCGATGCGTATTCTATGCTTCCATGTCAACTTTGTATTCCACCTTGACACAATAGAATTTCGTCTTTGGTGGCTGCAAATCCCATCGCCACGAGGGTCACGCGTGCGGCACACGGCGGTGGACAGTTTGCCTTTCCCTGTGACTTGTAAGCAGGGACCTAGGCACCCAGTAGATTTGCACCCATCATCGTGCTACGCCACGTGTGGAAAGAAAAACGAGAGAGTACCATCCACACGCAGATGCCAACACGGGGCCTCACCAGAGGTTTGCTCGCGTACGTCCCGCGCCGCTTAGCTTCGGTGGTGTCATCTAGCTCTCTGAGCCCTTGCCGCATCGTCGCCTCGTACCCGCTCCACTCCTCCTCGCCGAGCACCGTCGCCATGGAGGCGTTTCGCAACCGACGCGCCCGAACCAGCGCTCTGGACATTTTTTTCTTCTGGTGCACGGTCAAGCGTTCGCTGCGGTTGCTCGCCATGCTCCGGCGCTGTTGATGTTGTTGTTGCTGTTGCCCAAGGTTCTCAACAAGTGCCAACTCTGTTCACAAAGAGTGCAGAACGTTGGCCGGTGGGCAAGCGGGGCGCGATACGGATACGTTGATTCAACACTCTGGCATTTCATTCTTTTTTCGCTTACTTGTCCATGACCCAGTCAGTTGGAGACTAAAAAAGACTCGAAAAAAGTCCAGTACCCAGTCGGTTTTCCTCAACTCCCTGAAAAGACTCCACCATACCCCATTCGACTGTGGGTATATCTCGAATGGGTAGTCTGTGCGTGTATTCATTTTTCCTAAAGTACGGTGGAACAAGCACGAGGAGATGGATGTACAGCAACGAGCATACAAGTTTCACCCAACTGCTGAGGGCGAAAGAACTCCGGGCTTGACGTTCGCAACCTCGTGCAAGCTGCTGCCAAGACCAACGCCACTGGAGTGCTTGCTCTGTACAACGCCTAGTCAGTCGCCAGCAACAAGTTTCGGCAATGTTGACGAGAGCTACATGGCAACGCTACCCACAGACAGACGCAGCGCCGTCTATGCAATACGTAACAGCAGCACCCGGGTTTGCTGCGTACAGTCCTGCGGCTCACCAATTCTCTGCCGTACACAATTCCTTGCGGTACGGTGAGCAGCTCCAAGCAGTGTGGTTCGGCACAAAACGCTCATCTCTGAAGAGACTTCTCCCGTCCTCTCTTGCTCAAGGACGTTGGACAGGGCTGTATGGCGTGCAACAGCGTCACAAGCAACACACGCAACAAGCAAGATGTCCACGACAGCCCTGCGCGAGCTGAGGGGTTCCGCGGAATAGATAGCACCCACCCCACCGTTGCGCTGTCGCTGATTGGATTTTGATTGGATGTGAGATACAGTCCGCAAAAGGTACAAGGGTGCGTTGCTTGTTGTGTCGGCCTGCGTTCGGTTGCTGTTTGTTCGGTGTCCGACGTTCAGGCAACGAATAGACCACTTGCAACAGAACCCCCCGCACCAAAAAAAAAGCTCTGGGCGG